GACACGAGGCTGATCTCTTCGTCCACGGTACCGGAGGAACCATCACGGCCGTCCACTAGCTTGTCTTGCACTAGTGGCTGCTGGTGGTAATGGATAAAACACCACCTCGTTCACCATAGCGTCTCGATATATCTTATTTAAAACACTGAACTTTCAATCTCTCATGATTAGTAAAAAGTAATTTTTAGGCGGAAATCGAACCCGCACATGAAATGCGATCTCTAGAAGAACGTCAACTTGAAGTGGACCTCTAACTATCTAATTACCATAGGAAAATATTTTATTCCAGGGTTTCAGAGTTGAATTTGTTTCCAAATCCTATCCTATTTGTTTCCAAATTCTGCGCCTATGTTGACACTATCAGGTCGTTCTTGTGTGTCACAATGTCAAAATATTGTCATGTGGTCGGATGCGCGGTAGCTTCACTTCACGAGATCGCAGGTTGACCTGGTGGTGATTAATCTTTGCCTGGCTCCACTTGAAGCTTAATGGCCCATTATCCCGCCTTGCTATAAACATACTAATTCCCATGCTCATTTTGTGCTTCTAAATGCTTCTCATTGCTTTCAAATGTCCAAAATAACGAGTGACTTATCCACACCACCGCTGCTGCTGTTTCCTCTGCGACGTTTAAGGGGAGCGTCTAGGGACAACTTTATCTCAGTTATTTACAGACGGATCGATTCGAAATTTGTTACACGTATGTAAAACGGAATTCTAAGACTTTTTTTCTCGTGTGAATTTTTCAAAAAAAATGAAAGAAAACGTGAAATTCGTAGAAAACTGCCAAAAAAGGGGTACTTTAGAAATCCTATCTCCTCCTAGGATTTTCAAGCTATAACATCGAGACACATATCATTCGATGCGTAAAGACCATATCTAAAAACGTCACTTTGCGGTTTTTTGGATTTCTCAATTTTGTGGGTGTGGGAGCATTTTTTCCGATATTTTTCGAAATTTTTCGATTTTACCCCCGCCCTCCCCAACTTTTTGCAAAATAAAATCCGAACTATAACGAAATTGGAAAAACGACTATTATTATATCATAATTTCTCTTTAACATATCAACATACCCTGGCGTATATAAATTTTGACCTAGTAAAACGAACAACGATTTTCCTTGTTAAGAATTATAATTATAACTACTAATGGAATCGTGTTTAATATTGTTGTTTATTATTACATCCAGCTTCTGCATGCCATTCGAACTGTATTTTAACGCACTTTAGAAATTGCATAGATGTCCAGCTGCTAACCAAAAATAGTACGCAGTTATTCTGAATGACGGACCCACTATAATAAATACGTAATAATTTAATATTTGAAAATTAATAATCTATACACCAATGGAAAGAGAAAGATTCCACATATTTGTACATAGGCACATACGTTCAATATGTCTCCCTTGTCTCCTCAGGAAACTTTCATGTAAACTGTCCTGTCACAATCAGCCATGTAAAAAATTTGAATCTTTCTCTTATCATTGCTCAATAAATTATTCATTTTGAATTTATAATTAAATAAATACAAATTCATTGATTCATTGATTGATTCATTGGGAACGAATGTACAAAACAGAGAAAACTATTACTTTTTCGAGCCTCCTACAAAACAGTTGTGGGCTACGCATTCAAGTCATCTCCAGCACAGTACAAATTTAAAACTTTTTTCAAGGCTAATTTTGAAATTATTTCATTGCTAACGGAATATTTAACTTCAAGGAACACCTGTTTACTAAGATTGTATAAAAAAAAGATCGGGACCAAAAGATGCACTTGTGACATTTCTAGATTATAATTACGAGTACAATTTTAATACTTCCATGGAACATCCATTGTTTATGACACACATAAAGAGCCAGAGAGAGTTATAGATGCTTATTCCTTAACTTGCTTTGGTCAAAGCTTCTGCATCGCTGTTAATAGAAATTTTCAATGTTGCATGTTATTTAAAAATAGTCAACGACATCAATTTTAATATGAAGAAATCTTGGGCTTTGTAATATTATGGTTAGTCTGTCGGTGAGAAATGTTTTAGGAAGCTATAGGTCATTCTTTTTACTTGGAATTTAGTAAACGAGATGGAAATGAATTTTATGTTCAATAGTGAAGTAATTTTGATGCCTTAACACTAGAAGACTCAATGATCAATTATGTAAATTGTTGCGATGCCACTTGGGTAGTGAAAAAGAATACTTAACATATAACGTTAAATTTTATGGAGAAATAAATTTATCGGTTACATTACTGCCCCAACTAATCACAATAAAAGTTCTGGAAACATTGGATCTCTAATTTCATTCGCTCGTCAGTTCCTCCGTCGTGGGTGTCGCCCCCCGAGGACGTGTCTGCAGCCCTTGGAGGTCTCGCTGTCGTGTCGTGCGCAGCCCAAGGCTCTCCCGACCCCAGTCTGTCGTGGAGCAGAGAAACCGGTATGTTCCTCGTTCACTTTTGACGCACCCTTCTTCACCTCGTTCACTTTTTCAATTCCTCGTTCACTTTTTGTTCTTTGTTCACTATTTTCAGCGCTGTTCACCTTTGGCTCGCATGCTGTCCCTAATTCTCGTAATTCTATTCAGTTTCTACTGCATTGAACCTCATGTTTTATATAGGATGTGCCATTCTTTCAATAGTATATATATCCATTTACTTGTTGAAGAATCCATGAGAACTTTTTAGTAAATTCCATGCTCAGTCCTTTAAAAGGCGTATCTAATCCCACAATCTGCAACAGTACAGCATTAGCTGTTACTGGGCACCGTAGGAGACGACACGAGCATCATTTATATCTTTTGATTTCAGGAAAGTCTTCGTAAACGTTTTTGTTTCCACCCTTCATTTTTTTATTTCATATCTCTATTATTCATGTAACTTGAAGGCTATGTAATTATGCAGCATTTATTTGCACTGTGTTATTTTCAAATTAAAATGTGGTGCAAACGAGTATGTTTTCTGCGTTTCTTAAATGTAGTTTCCTAGTGAGGCTGAATTATTGTTTCACGTAAACTTTTCGTCATGCCTCGGTAGAAGATGTGTTTTTATGGGGTTACTTGCCCCTTTCAATGCATTTAATTTGTGAAGAGAGACTTCAACTTTCATTCACAAATAATCGACGTTTTGTGCTAGCTTCAGGGGAATGGGCACCAGTGGACCAAATCAGAAGTTCATCTGTGGAAGAATTCGTCACGCAATTTGAAGCCCGCGTTTCTCACCACAACCGCCTCCAGGCTTTAGGAGGTTTGCAGTTCGAAGAAAATGAACCTGATTTGGACGATAAATCTTCGTATTCTGAAAGCCTGGGTCCCATGGAGGGAGAATCTCTACACGCGAACGGGCTCGGGAGTTTTGCGTTAGGCACTGTAGATGCAGGTGGTGCAGGATGTGGTTCGCTGCAGGTGGTGCAGGATGTAATTAGTTGCAGGTGGTGCAGGATGCGGTTCGCTGCAGGTGGTGCAGGATGCAATTAGTTGCAAGTGGTGCAGGATGTGGTTCGCTGCATGTGGTGCAGGATGTAATTGGTTGCAGGTGGTGCAGGATGTGGTTCGTTGCAGGTGGTGCAGGATGTGGCTCGTCGCAGGTTGTGCAGGATGTGGTTCCAGGAATTTAAAGCAAAGATAAAACCACAAAAATTCACCATTTCTTTATAAGAGAAAGCGTTTCGGAGTCCAGCTCTATCGTCAGTTCATAACACAAAGTTCATTTTAGAAGAAGTTCAGTCCTAGAAACACAAGTACAATCAATTAGTAAAGTAAAATCCACTGTAAGTCATTAAAATGGAAATAAGCAAATGCGACATGAAATTAATGCTAATAGGCGGGCCTATCTATTTACTATTTCAAGAGGAAAGGAGCTAAAAGCGGGATTCACACTAGGCTTCTGTTTGAATATAAACAGGGATTATAGAATTGGTAGATCAGTAACCCCGGATGTGGATGCTAGAACTTTAAAATCACTATCGATCGCATAAGAACAGGGAGGGAACCTTCCTTGTACCTTCCTTCTATCCTTTTACCTGAAAACCGAGCCGATTCTAAAATTGTTAACTAAAAACACATAAAGATTTACATCCGGAAGGTATTTAGCGAATAAAATTTTTAATTCCTCTGCAGGTGGTGAGTTCGAGCTCTCGGTCGCTGCGCGTGACGTGGGTGCCTCCGCCTCGCAACGCCTCGCATGGACGCCTCCTGGGATACTACCTCGGCATCCGCCTCCGCCTCCCCAGGTGCGCCTCACGCCTCACATTCATGCAACAAATCAGGCATATTTTCTATTGATGCTATCTAAATCAGTTCCACTGTCTTGATATTTGTCATTGGGAATAGCTGGGGGTGTAGTCTGTAGTGGTTGATGTTTTAAATACCCTAAGCGCCACTTGCAGCTCTAAGACGTCTCATAAGCTCTTTGGTGTATCATAGAGTTGACTGCAAGACGTTGACCTCTTGACGTGTTGGCAGCACGATGGACGACGCAAGTGACGAAGGCAGCGCTTACAACTTCACGACGGTGGGCGGTAGCGATGCTTCGTCCACCGTCACGCACACCATCGTCACTGACCTGCATCCTCACTCCTTCTACGATGTCATCGTCAGGGCCTTCAACTCCCGAGGGGCTGGACCCTCGTCAGACCCTGTCCTGGGGCAGACCCTGCAGGACAGTGAGTTTTGCATCCTGTTGCATCGTTTCATTTCATGATCTTGTGTCTCCGTCTTGTGGCTAATATAGAAAAAAATGTGTTGATGGTCACTTATTTCTCCGTTTGATATTCTAAATAAATGTGTCCAGGGCAGCCATTGACTGCGGGCGCATTATTATGTACAAGTAACTCATTAGTATTGTAATAATGTCACTAGATTGCTTGAATCGCAGATTCACTAGAAATTTAAAAGTGAAGAAAACTCCACAAAAATTCAGCATTTCTCTATTGAAAACGTTTCGGAGACCAGCTCCATCGTCAGTTCGATAAATCTAGAACACAAATACAGTCAGAAAATTAGGTGGACGACTGTTGATCGTCAATGACAGTCACGGGACGGAACTGTCGGGGCTGGAGGCCTGGACCAACTACTCCATCACAGTCGCGGCCGCCACTTCCGTCGGGGTGGGAGCTTCTGCGGACAGCGTCTTGTGTGCCACCATGGAGGGAGGTAAGATTGCTTTTGGTACTTAAGAAGTACTTCTCTTCTAGCTTTTAAAACATCGTGATAATTCTCTAAATTCATGTATGACGGATGTTTGAGAATTAATGACGAAGGTTACTTTAGCGTTTATGACGAAGGTTTTGGCTTTTTAAATATTTAATGGGCACACATTTTTTCAGTTATATCATGAAAGTTGATGTGACATGATGGAAAAATCAGAAATTAATGGAGCAATTCTAGATTAATATTCAGTGAAAATAGATGAATCATTCATTAAGATCTCAAAGAAAGGTTTTCGTTGACAGCTCCATCAGCGCCTTCATCAGTGAAGGCCGTGTCTGCCGGACCGTCCAGCGTCTTGGTGGCGTGGCGGGCACCTGAGCAGCCTCGAGGACGCATAATTTCTTACATAGTGTACTGGCGCCCCACGTCCAATGCCTCCGAAGTCTTGCCGACCAAAAGCACCGCCGTAGAAGGGCAGAAAAACTTCTTGAAGCTCGAAAATTTGAGCGGCGTGCCATTACATGTCAGTCTATATGTAATAAATCGTCATTAAATACTGTTGCTTGTGTTAGTTGAGTGATTAAGGGCTGTTGGAAATCTATTTAACATGATTGTCATTTATGCTGTAAGTGTATAATTTCATTTCCCTGTCTCGTAATAGAGTGCGTAATTGCAAGTAATCAAATGCAAGGCATCGACCTGCCTTGCGTGCTCGCCTGTTGTGATCAAGTCACAGAAATGCGCGAAGTCAAAATGCTGACCGTTCGCTCATTTCTGGTCTTGCTAACAGTGATTTTTCGGCACGCATGATTGTTTCTCCCGTTTTACCCGCTCGGTGCTACGATTATTTGGAAATATGTCGTGTTGCAGCACCGAGTGTATTTCGTGTATTTGAAATATTTCGTGACAAAATATATGCCCGCGAAGTCTTTATAATTTGCAGTGCCATGGCAGCGTCAGTTTTACCGTGTCCTGCCCTACAGGTGTGGGTGACCGCGTCGACTGTTGTGGGCGAGGGAAGAACCAGTGCGCTGGTGTCTGTCGTCCCCAGCGACACCGGTCTGTCTATATCTATACGCAGTGATTATTTTTTTATACCTTGCTTCTTGGTTATTCGTTGCAGACGAGAGAGAGCAGAGGGGAAAAATATGGAATCACTCAATTCTGAGGAAAAAATTATGGAATCATGAAAAACAAAAGAACGCTGCAACACATCACTAGAGTTTTATTGCACCTCCATTGGCTTTTATAACAGCTTGCGGTCTATGAGGCATGGACTTAATGAGTGACAAACAGTACTCTTCATCAATCTGCCTCCAACTTTCTCTGATTGCTGTTGCCAGATCAGCTTTGCAGGTTGGAGCCTTGTCATGGACCATCTTCTTCAACTTCCACCAATGATTTTCAATTGGATTAAGATCCGGACTATTTGCAGGCCGTGACATTGACCTTAGGTGTCTTTTTTCAAGGAATGTTTTCACAGTTTTTGCTCTATGGCAAGATGCATTATCATCTTGAAAAATGATTTCATCATCCCCACACATTTTTTCAATTGATGGATAAGAAAAGTGTCCAAAATATCAATGTAAACTTGTGCATTCATCAAAGATGTAATGACAGCCATCTCCCCAGTGCCTTTACCTGACATGCAGCCCCATATATCATCAATGACTGTGGAAATTTGCATGTTCTCTTAAGGCAGTCATCTTTATAAATCTCATTTGAACAGCACCAAACAAAAGTTCCTGCATCATCACCTTGCCCAATGCAGATTCGAGATTCAACACTGAATATGACTTTCATCCAGTCATCCACAGTCCACGATTGCTTTTCCTTAGCCCATTGTAACCGTGTTTTTTTCTGTTTTGGTGTTATTGATGGCTTTCGTTTAGCTTTTCTGTATGTAAATCCCATTTCCTTTAGGCGGTTTCTTACAGTTCGGTCACAGACGTTAACTCCAGTTTCCTCCCATTCGTTCCTAATTTGTTTTGTTGTGCATTTTCGGTTTTTGAGACATATTGCTTTAAGTTTTCTGTCTTGACGCTTTGATGTCTTCCTTGGTCTACCAGTATGTTTGCCTTTAACAACCTTCCCATGTTGTTTGTATTTGGTCCAGATTTTAAACACAGCTGACTGTGAACAACCAACATCTTTTGCAACATTGCGTGATGATTTACACTCTTTTAAGAGTTTGATAATCCTCTTCTTTGTTTCAATTGACATCTCTCGTTTTGGAGCCATGATTCATGTCAGTCCACTTGGTGCAGCAGCTCTCCATGATGTGATCACTTCTTTGTAGATGCAGACTAACGAGCAGATCTAATTTGATGCAGGTGTTAGTTTTGGGGATGAAAATTTACAGGGTGATTCCATAATTTTTCCTCAGATTTTGAAATGACTTTAGTTTTGTGTCATGTCTGTGATCTGCTTTTTTCTACAAAGTTAAACAATTGAATGAACATCCTCCGAGGCCGGTGATTCCATAATTTTTGCCAGGGTTTGTATTAGGGCACTCTTTTGTTTCTCATCGTCTGTGGTCATAATGAAGGTAACTGGCACTCTGCTACTTGATAATAATAATAACCTACCTAATGCTATGTTAAAATTTATGAAAAAGTAAGGATAAGATGATTTTTTAGTTTTTATGATGAGGTGTTGATTTAGTTGAGGTGATGATTTAGGCGTAATGACAGTTGTAAGCGTTCCTTTGACTTGAAGCCACATTCAACTTGCAAGCTTCAATAATCCTTCTTTCATTCACCCTTTTGCAGTTGGTGCGGGCATTCAGGAGATGCAGTGGGAGAATATAACGTTCAGCCGAATATAACCTTCCTCTTATCCGCCATTATGCAGTTGGTGCGGGCATCTGGTCGGTGGGCGGAAGCGTGCTCGTCAATTGGAAGCAAGACGCACTCCTGCAATGCCGCACCGTCGGCGTGCCGGAGCCCTCCAGGACCTGGACCCGCGGACCGGAGCGCGTCGCCCTAAACTCCCCGGGGTGCGCTTGCCAGGTTTAACGACGCATTACCGCATAAATTTCTAATTTGTGATTAACAATTTCTAATGTTCAAAATATCTCATTGTAATTAAATGACATGGAACGTTTTTATAAAACTTAAAGTCCTTCACGTGAATTTAATGTTGATGAATATTAATTGAAAAAAATCACCATTTAGTTGCTTTCGTTGCATTTATATAATGATCCTGTTTCTAGAAAGAATATTCAAAAGTAAACTAGAAAATATCGTGTGAAATATTGATATAGTAGATAGTGCATGATAGTTAGGATTTATTCATATGAGACGTATCTTGCTAGTCTCGAAATT